GTTTCACTAACAAGAATCATATACTACCGGATATGACTACACATCCTCCATCACAACACACAATCTTGGAGAAACAAAGATCCAAACCAAGAAAATCTAAGGTTCCACCTAATCTTGGGCAAATCCCTAAAATTGCAACGATTTTACGGAGGAAAAGAAAGGGAACGAAGGAGTTTACATACTAGGAGGGATTGGAGATCGAATCCAGGCCTCAAAACTTCAGATCTGAGAGGGGGTGTGGGGGGGATCCGAAGGGGGCGCCGCCGCCGCTCTCTGTACAGAGAGCAACTTCTCAGAGGTGGAAGAACTGCCTAGGAGGGGCTGGCCCGATGCGGCCTAAGTCAACGTGCAGCGCCTAAGACACGGGTGCTGCACTATACACAGTGCGGCGCCCTAGCCTTAGGCGCTGCAGTGCTGTCTGTGGGGCCGCAACTGGACCAGGTCTGCCACGCTGGCTGGATCTGCGACGCCTAAGGAAAGGGCGCTGCACTGTAGGGTGAGGCGCCTAGCTGTCGGGCACCACACTAAAGGGTCAGCAGAGTGATTTTTTTTAAAAGCATGTCAGTTTGTGATTTGATTTCGGCCTTAGATCAAATATGTGATTTCTGCATGCTACTCTAGTCAAGCGTACGTATGCGCCGCATGCACCGATGTACTCCCTCCGTTCTGAAATACTTGTCTTAGATTTGTCTAGATACGGATGTATCTAGACTCATTTTAGTGCTAGATACATCCGTATCTAGACAAATCGAAGACAAGTAATTTGGAACGGAGGGAGTACTACATGGCTGCACCAATGCCTGCAGGCACACTTGCTTGGCCAGGGGAGAAGTCCGTACGTGGACCGCGACGCACAGACAACCGCAGCAACTTGCACGTGGGTAGGCACGCACGCACCTGCGCCGCAGCCGCCGACGTACCGGCCGTGGGTTTCCGCCGCCGCGGTGCCGCGGTCTCCGTCCCCTGACCCCCCGCCTTTGTGTTCTAGTCGCTGGTTGGTTTCAACGTTCGCTCGCTCGTTTGTCCAGCCGGGTTAACGGGGTCGCCGCTGTTTGGCCCGATGCATGGCATGCACGCATCTAGTAGTATCGGAGAAAACACCGGGGTCGTCGGCACCCGCGCGCATGCTGGTCGCCGGTCCATATTCCATATCCCGTCCGTGGGTTCCCTTTCACGGGAGAGCAGTGGCCCGCGCGCGCGCACATGCGTCCAAGAGACCGATCCATCGATGATGCGGTCAGAAAGGTGCATGCGTGTGATGTGTGTGCCGGTCAGGTCACTAGAAAGGGGAAAACGCTCACGGTCCGATGATTAGCGTGTG